GTAATAACAAAAAAAAACATTATGTTACAAGTTTATGCTTCATAAATTTTACTTGTATTCCCATTTGTAAATTGTAATTTCAATCAATGTCCGGTGGCGTTTTATGTTCCATTTTCATGTTTTGCTGGCCATTAAAGAAACTACTCGTTTTTGTTAAAAAACGCGCAAAAAAGTCATGACGCATGCGCTGTGGCTTAGGTTTACACGCGGTTTACTGGTAACTAGTATTTAGCGGTTTAGTTTACAATTCTAACAAAGATTTACGAGTAACAGCAATATGTTGATGCCTTTGGGCTTGGCTACTACTAGACATTTGATTCCTAATTGTTGTTGGATTACAAGTTGCTGTCTATTAGTTGTGGTATGTGTGTTGGACATCATGTTTTATCAGACTCGCTTGTCCACTCGGGCTATGGAGTGTTAATAGTTGGTGTGTGTCAGAATCACAACATGTTTGTTTTTTTTGTTTTGTTCTACAGCGACTGTTGCTGTTGCTGCTGCTGCTGTTACACTCTTGTTTTCTTTCTAATGACAATCATTGTTGTCAAACAACGATTGACATCTCTGGATTGTTGGGATTTTGATTTTAATTCTGACACATGATACTCTTAAGATGTCTGCAATTGTTTAAGTTTTTTTTATTATTCTTATTTTTTTTTTTTTTTTGTTTCATTCTTAAGTTGACAGTTTTATTGATAATTTATGACACTTTTGAATACATTGATGGTTTGAAGTTGTTTATACTGTTGAGTTGTGTCAATTCATTTTGCCAAAGAAAACGTGTTATGAATTGAGTGATTGTTTTCTCTATTCTTGATATTTCGTGATAATTGTTGACCAGTCCCTTTTAGAGTTTATTTTAGCAAATTGATTGGCAGCTCTATTAGGAAATAATTGATTCGATTTAATCGACTAACAAAGTGTTTATTATTCGATTTATGGATGTAGCATCAAAACTTTAAATAATATTCGTCTGAATTACTAGACGAATGATATTATATTACAGTTATCAGAATATTCAAAATTGGTTATTTTGAAAAACTTCTTAATAAATCAATGGTTTTTATAACTCGACTTATCGAATCGAATAATCATAAACTCCAACGACAAGGTAAATTACATTTCAAACTCTTTGACACGACCTTTCCTTATCGACAACACTTACTTATTTACAAGTAGTTTACCTTAAAATACAGCTGGTGTTTAATTTATTTCAATTTATTTTCCATATTTTTTTAATGGTTAATAAAATAACACCGTTATTTAAATAAACAATTTACCATTAAACTTAAAGCTATAACTATTATTACATTTTTTTTACATTTTGCACACCTTAAACAAACTCTAGTTCCAAGCTAAAACAAATTAAATAAAACAATTTTTTAATCACAAGACTCAAATGAAAACTCCAACGAAACCAAAAATGAATTATATTGATTTTATGCAAATTGTTAATTGTAAATTATAAATCTGTTTTTAGATCACAGACATGCCTTGTAATCGTAGTTGAAATTATCTTAGTCGGACAATATTAACTCCATTACTAAAATTGTACTCACAAATACATGCATAAATATCAAGTTAGGAAGTAGTGTTCGACTGTTTTGAAGTTCATAAGTGGTGATCTTATATCTCCAACACTATATATAGACTTCAGCACGTTTTAATAGATGTCGGATGTCGGATTGATTACACCTGAGAAGTATATATTTAGTAACGAGTTTGGATCAGAATGGTATCAAAACATTCATGTTTAGAACTAAGTTCAAAATTTTGTAACTAAGTTTTCGCTTTCATCTTTATTATACTATTACTCTATGGTGACCTTGACTTAGAAGCGCCTATTCCCCATACGAAGAACGTCTACTGAGAGTCTTTCTATGGCGACTTAAGCGACGGTAAACTCTAGTGTCTGCCCACTGTGATTTTGTTAGTCTGAATTTTGGTGATACATATTTTAAATACAGAATGCGTCACACTCTTATTGAGCCGAATTTTGGTCTGTTTGTAACTCTAGAGGAAAGGAAATATCATTGCATCTTACCCAAAGAATGGCAATAAATTGCTAAACTTTCTGTATTTTAAAGAAGTGCCAATTGTAAAAAAATAACATTATGTATTTTGTCCTAGGTGCTAAAATCATTAAGGGTCTTGCTATAACTGGCTTAAAATGCTCAACACTCTAAAAAACCAAAAAGTCCCCTTTTATAGGTTCTCATTTACTTCGGGCTTTAATTCATGTTTCTAAGTTCAGTATTATAGAAAACTCAAAAAGTACCAGTTAAAGGGCGAAAAAGTGCCAAAAAGTCACCTCTTATGGGTTCTCATTTACTCCGGTTTAATTTCATGTCTCTAGGTTCAATATTATAAAAAACTCAAAAAGTACCAGTAAAAAAAAGAAAAAGTACGAAAAAATAGTCATTTGTGCCGGAGTGTCAAGTAACATCCTATTGGCATATTTAGTGTTACTAAATCTCTTTTTTTTTAGTGTTATTAAAGTACCTTTTGGTACTTCTCTATCCCTAATGAAGTAATAACAAGTAAGAGTGCTATATTCGGATATGCCGAATCTTAAATACCCTCCACCATCAAGCTACTTTTTATTAAACCCCATTTAACTATCTACTTTTTAGATAGCTTGCCAATTTTTTATCTCCGTATTGAGGGTACTATCATTTATGTATATGTATGTCGAACTAATTTCGATTAGGTGCAGAAAAATTTATATTAATAGGCCAGTTCCAAAACATTTTAATAGAATGATTTATCTATACACAGAACATACTCATGTCGAATTTTATCCGTGGTAAGTGGTATTAAGTGATCTTCAAAAGTAAACTTATTGATCGATCCGGAAAAAAATTCCGTATAATGATTTATATATTCAAAATACACATTTATGTCGAATTTTATCACGATAACTTTTATTGTCAATGTGGATTTTTTAATTTTCGGTTCTTATATGGGAGTTGTGACCAATTATGGACCGATAAGGAAAAAATTACGTTAATGATTTATATGCAAAAAAAATTAAGTCAAATTTTACTCCAATAGATTTATCAATTAATGAAATATGTGCGTTTAACTGATTTTTGGAACAGGACTTTATTATATATTTTGAAGCTATGACCAATTACGGGCCTATCGTAGAGTGATTCATATATACACAAAACATATTTGTGTCGAATTTTATCAAGAAAGCTTTTTTTGACAATGATTTTTTTAAGTGATTTTCAGAAGTGGGTTTTATATGAGAGCTATGATCAATAATAAACCAATCCGGAAAAAAATTGGTGGAATGATTTATATGAAGACAAAACATTTGAAATCAATCCATGAAATATTTGCGTTTAAGTAATTTAGGAAGTGGACCTTATATGGGAGCTATGACCAATTGTGGACTGATACAGATTTACGTTAATAGTATGATTTCTATTCATATTATATTTACATGTACAAAATTTTGTGTTGATACCGATATATTTGAGGGAGTTATTAACTATATAAACTAATTTCCTGGAATATATACCTTTGTATGGGGGCTATGGGAAACATGTTACGATTTTGAAGATACTTGATCCCTGGCAAAAAAAATAATGTTTGACAAAATTCATCAAAAAATCTTTAGTGAACTGATTTTGCTGATACCAAAATACTTAAGACAATAACAAATATTGTTGGTGAATTTGGTTAATTTCCTTTGCTTAGTTTTTTCGTGAGTGTGTTTTACACAGACAGACGGACATAGCTAAATCGACTCAGAATATATATACAAGGAATATATTAATATACTTTGTTGGGTCTAAAATGAATATTTTTAGGTGTTGCACATGTAATGACAAACGTATATATAAGTTCTATAAGTGGAGGGTATAAAAGGAGATTTTCGATAAGAGGTTGATATGGTGCTAAGGGCCTATCCTAATAAACTTTAGTAGACGAATTTAGACCTACATTAAAGTTATTTATGTTTATACGTGAATTTTTAAAACTAACTATTGCCGCTTTTTGTTGACATACTAGAACATTTAATATAACAAATAAGCTCAAAAGCCCTATTGTATGAGGCTAGTCAAAATAATAATTGTCCAATTTTAATAATTTTCCATCAAATTAAATTGCGACCTGTAGCGTGCGCACAATCTTTACATGGACACACAGACAGGCGGATGGATAGACGCACATAGCTAGATCTATTCAAAGTGTGATTCTTAGCAGATTGGTATACTTTAAGTTGGGTGCACGACCAATATTTTTAGGTATTATACAAACGTATAATACACTCCCCACTATATGTAGTGGTGTAGGGTATAACTATTTAACAGTCATAACATGAAGTTAACGAAAAAATTACAAACTAAAAACTCTATTTTTCTTGGTTCCTGGCGGTACCACCAGACTATTAATGTTTCCTCTTATATGTTTCTTAACGATGTTCTCCAGCTTGGCGGAAACTTTAAATCGTTTGAGACAATTTGTTTTTCGTTATTTTTAAGCATTATTTGATTATAGTATTAAAATTAAACTTAGATTTTTATTCTCCTTTAATAGATAAGATTAAACAATTTTTTAAATTTGTATATCATCCTCCTAGAAATCATTAAAACACACAATTTGATTAATTTTTAAGTTTTTCTTTATTTTCTTTTAAACAATTTAACATTTTTTTTTGTTTGTTTGTCACAAATTGATTCTAAACTTTTCATAATGTCAAACACATGATCCAAGTATAGATGACTAACGGTTAAGGTTATAATACAAAAATAACGGCAGTTGCTAAAAAGACAATAGATGGCAGGTGAGAAATGACTTAGAGGGCGGTAAATATTAAAAATATATATCACAAGGGAAAGACAAGAACGACTGAGTGAATGGAATAGATAGAAATGACTATTACAAGAAAGTATAGAAACATACGAGTAGTAAGAACGTAAAAGGAAAATGATAAAAAAGTAAAAAAGAATAAAAGGGAAAAAAGGAAAACTTAAATTATTTTAAAATTATCATTTTGTTGCAACTTGTTGTTTTAAAAAATTTTAACTAAAAAAAAACAAACGAAAACTGAAGTTGGTGGTGTTGATGGTTTGTTGGTCTTTTTGTGTTATTTACATGGGAAGTAATGAAGTGGCTTAAAACCATTTAGAGTAAGTGCTTGGGCGGCACTAAAAGGATGTAGTGATATAAGGGGGATTGTGGTGCTGGTGGTGGTGGAAGTGGTATAAATCATAGAACCAAATTCAGAAGCATATTAAGTTGAACCAACGTTTTTTTTTTTTTTTCAATTCTCTTATGGAGTTAAATTATAGGGTACCAGGAGCAGGTTGCAAGTTAGCGGACACAGCCGATTGAATATGTCCGGGCAATGGAGCTACATGTACAGCACCACGGGTCTTAGCTACATAGGTGCCAGTGGGTGCGGGAACAACAACTGGGGCGGCTACAACAGCTGGACCGGATACGATTTGTACGGGACTGGGAACGGCAGCATGAACAGCTACAGCACCAGGGGCGGCAATGATAGCTCCTGGATGACCAACAACTACGGCACCGGGCAAGATAGAGGCGTTAGCACCCAAAGCCAAAGCAACCAAGACTACGACAACGGCGAACTGAAATGAGGAAAAAATAAGGAAAATTATTAAAATGTTGTACCTATTTAAAAGAAGCATGGATCGAGCAAAAGTATATCTTTAAAAATTTTCGAGATATTATCTAATATTTGAAATTTTTTATGGAAACTTCTAAAAACTTTTACTATAAACATTATATCGGTTCAACTGATATTAATCTCGTAACTCAAGCATTAAGAACAAGGATTCGTTATCAATGTACACTTTCTAAGCGATGCCATTGTTTTCGGAAAAGAGAGAATATAGTTTGAGTTCCATGGGCACTTATTTATAGGATTAGATTCAAAGCAATAGAAGGACATCTGTTATAGATTCAGGATCAAAATGATATTTATGTCGTAACTCAAGCATTAAGAACAAAGATTCGTTATCAATTTACACTTTCTAAGCGATGCCATTGTTGTCGGAAAAGTGGTTCATTACTGAACATTTCTGATCAAGAGAGAATATAGTTTGAGTTCCATTGGTACCTATTTATAGAATTAGATTCAAAGGACATCTCATGTTTATACATTTTGCACATTATTGTTATAGTTTCAGGATCAAATATTTTCACTTTTCTTAGAAAATCACTTTTTGTTCACATAAATGTTAAAAATTCTTAAATCACAATCACTAAATATTTCAAATTCTTCAAGTATTCGTTTTATAAAATTCTCACCTTCATGTTTGCAATGTAAATCAAAAATAATTTATTGATGTTTTATGAAATTGAAAGCTTTCTAGACGCTTTAACGTTAGAAATAATTCTACTGATATCCGAACGTGCGCAACAATCTTTTATACCTCCAGTTCCAGTTCTTGTCTTTTTTTTCGCTATTCTACTCCAAACCATAACATAGGTGTCAACAAATAATGGCCAGCGTGGAATTTGAGTCAATCTATAATTAACTTTACCAAGTAAGGTTGGTTGTCTGGTTGTTTAATTAATTCCAGAACTATTTTATGTTTCTCATTACCAGTACTTTACGTTTTTTTGTTCTCTTTAAGCTCTATTTCAAGTATAGATTTCATTATAATTGTAGAAAAAATATTTTTACATTTATTGTCATTCTAAATAAAATCTCAAATATTTAATTCTACTCATAATAAGATAATATATATAAAATCAAGTTATTTCTTTTATTTTTTCAACAAATGCAAATTATAATCTCCAATCCAGTTCAATTGAAAGTGAAAATTGCCAACAACCTAAACTTGCGGAAATATACATATATGAATAATTATGAATATTAACATCAAACCACCGTTACTAACTTACTTATTTTAAATCCATTAACACACCATTTTAAAACAACTCTACCCTTGTCGATATATAACAAACATTTCTGCCTACTTGATTGACTTGTACGTATACAGATGTCATTGCAATTAATTGTTACGTCATTATAGCAAATTGTTTTAGTTCCTAAACGCCCGCCATTAAAACTATGTGTATTCAATTAATTTTATTAAATAGCTAAAACATTTCAATTAATACATTATTTTCTTAATTTATTACGCTAATTTACAATTTTATAAGAAATGTTTTTTAAAACGTTTTCAATATTTCATCGGTGCTGCTTGTAACGATTCTTAATCTGCCATTAATGCAGATTTTTTATTCTGTTATAAAACCAATTTGCACGTGTTAGCTAAGAATTACATAATGTCAACAATTATGGTATTTTTTAATTTTACTTATATGGTTAATTGTTGCTAAGAGGTTTATATATGTGATCAATCTCACGATTTGTAGGTTTAACAGTTACAATTGTTTTAACATCAATTAGATCAAAACAATTTTAAACGATAATACTTACAACGTACTACAGATGGATAAGCTGCGAGATGTACGATATAACTAATAGCCTCCTAAGGACCCTAACCGAGAAAGGACTTAGACCTGTCTGCTATGCAGACGATGTCGTAATACTTTTAAAGGGAAAGGATTCAAATTACTTGTGTAGAAGAGCTGAGGAGGCTCTGAATACGTCCTTGAGATGGGCTCAACCGAGAGGCCTCAATGTTAACCCGGCAAAAACGGAAATCTATCTTTTCACAAGAAAGACAAACATTTCTACGTATACTGAACCTTGCTTCCTGGGCAAGAAGATACCAGTGACAGACAAAGTTAAGTACTTAGGTGTAATACTCGACCGGAAATTAAAATGGAGTCACCACATAGAGGATAGGATCAACAAGGCACATCGGTGCTGGGCGATATGTAGGAGAACTATATGCATGAAATGGGGTCTTAGTCCTACTATGACAAATTGGCTTTATAAAAGTTTAATTAGACCAATTCTAGCTTATGCTTCAATAATCTGGTGGACTGCTTTAGACAAAAAGTGCAATATCAAAGTTCAGCGCACATGTTGATTGGGTATAAGTGGTGCCATGTGTACTACTTCAACCAAAGGCTCTGGAAACGTTGCTAGATATTCCACCCATTCGCTTACAGCCGAACGGCTCTTTACTTTACCTTAGGCGAACTGGCCAAACGCGGTTATAGAACACGTCATCAATGTATACTGGACACATTGGAAGGATATACACAATCATCGGACGTGCCTGATCGTATACCAGACACAGAATATGTCAGAAACTTTAAAACGCTGATCCCAGATAGAATGTCTTGGTCAAGCGGAACATTAGAGCAAATACCAGTAGGAATCCCTTGTTACATGGATGGCTCTAAATTGGAGGACAAAGTTTGGCTGGGGTTCTATATTGAAGACCCAGAAACAGAAATATACCACCGTTTACCAAATCATAACACAAGCTTCCAGGCAGAAGTACGAGCAATAACGGAATGCGTAAATTGGATTAGAATAAATATGGCGCCCATAGCGCTTAATATATTTACCGATAGCCAGGAGGCAATTAGGGCGATATCAGGCGATAGAACTAAATCTAAGACCGTATTGGATTGTAAGAAAGCTTTAACTGAATACTCTCCCAGAGGTAAGGTTCACATCATATGAGTACCAGCCCAGTCGGGAGTAGTCGGCAACGAAAGGGCGAATGTAATAGCTTTAAAAGGTAGGGAGCTCGAGGCAGTTAACCTGACAAACGCGAAACCATTCGACGCAGCAAAAGCTAAACTAAAAATATGGGTGAGAGAATCCCATAAGGCCTCTTGGAATAATGAAACAGTGGCTAGAACCCCGAAGATCCTATGGGGTGACCCTGATAAGAGCAAGACGAAAAATCTCCTCAAAATGAGCAAGTCTGAAGTTAGCATGATGGTACGTATTCTGAGTGGACACACAGGATTACGAGCACATCTATGCAAAATTGGACGTGCGGATTTAGACGAATGTAGAGCATGTGGAGAGGACAGTGAAACTCTGGAGCACTTTGCCACTGCCAGGCATTCGTCGAAGTTAGATCCAAGTATCTTGGAAGTAATGTTATTCCGGAAATAACATTCCTGACTAACACTGATTGGAAGATTCTTAAGAATTACGTTCAGGAAACTGAGTTTATGAACACTGAAAAATAATTTAGTGGACAGTGAGGACAGTGAAACTCTGGAGCACTTTGCCACTGCCAGGCATTCGTCGAAGTTAGATCCAAGTATCTTGGAAGTAATGTTATTCCGGAAATAACATTCCTGACTAACACTGATAGGAAGATTCTTAAGAATTACGTTCAGGAAACTGAGTTTATGAACACTGAAAAATAATTCATTCAGTTCCCTTTTTTTTCTCATGATAAGGAGCGCACAACAGGCCACTATCGGGCTAGGTGTATTTCTTCTGATTTGATGTAATATACATCCTCCTATCAACCTACCTACAACATACTAAATATAATGGATTTTAAGAAAAAACTGCTGACGCATGCTTTTTTGCTGAAATGTTTTAAAAAGCAAATTAAATTTAAAGTTGAATCCCCTCCAAAATGTGATACCCACCCCACATTATACAGTAGCGCCTAATCGAGTTTAATTTTTGATAATGGATCCCACAAGACTCAAAGCAGGTCACCTTAGACATGTACATTTTTATACCCTACACCACTATAGTGGGGAGGATATTATGCGTTTGTGCTGATATTTGTAAAAATATTGGTCCTACACGCACCTTAAAGTATACCAATCGACTCAGAATCGCTTTCTTTCTGTCTGTCCGTCCGTCTGTGTGAGCTTGTGCGCATTTTACACGTTGCAATTTTCAAGATAAAATTTGGCATATACTCTTCTTTTGACTCAAGGACGAAGCCTCTTGAAAATGGTTGAAATCGGTCCATTATTTCGTGCTGCCCCCATACAACCGTACTCTCCGAATAGGGCTTTTGAGCTCATAAATATGTTAAATGTTTCTGTATCACTTCAAAATTCTCAAAACTTATGTCTTAATGATACTGATGATTTTCATAATGATCGGACCTCATTTGACCCTATCCTCCCCTTCAGAAAATGACTTGATGGTAAAAATTCACTTATAAAGACTAATATCACGATGATATTCTGCATAAATAACTGATGTAGACGTAAATCCTTCTACCAAAATTTATAAGGATAGGACCATAATTTTCTGTCGGGGCTTTATATAGGGTCAATTATGAGCCAATTCTCATAATCTTGGGCAAAAATGATTTGGCTCCTATACATACTTTACTAAGTCAGTCACGAGCGTATATGAAATCGTGGACCAATAATGCTCATTTTCAATTCACCTAATAAACATTATAAACTAATAAGTGAGAGTGTCATATTCGGCCGAATCTCATATACCCACCATCAAACCGTATACCGTAAAAGGAATGCTTCCCTATAAACATCAGGGTGATATTACTGAGAGATAGGGTTAATTATTGACCATTTTTCATAATTTTTTTCATAATTTTTTTAGACCGATTTCACGTATTTTTAAGTCAGGAATGATCGTTAAAGTAATTTTCTTATGGACTGATCCTCAATAAATTTGGTAGAGAGATTTTAACTCGTATAAAACATATGTGTGTCGAATTTCATCGCTTTTCTCGTATTGCTAAGTCAGTACTGAGCTTTAAAGTTATTTTCTGAAGGCGAGCTTATATGGGGTCAGTCATAAAAGTCAGTATAGATGTTCTGGCTTAAATTTTATCTCTATACTCGTACTTTTAAGCCAGTAATGAGCGTTAAACTAATTATCTGAAGGGGTCTTATAGGGGGGTAAGGTCAATTATGGACCGATTGACATAAAATTTGGTTAAGTGAACTTACATGGGTCGAATTTCATCGCTTTACTCGTATTTTTAAGCCACTAATGTTAGTTAAAGTCATTTTTTGAAGGGGACCTTATATGGGGGTAGGGTCAACTATGGACCGATCCACATAAACTTGATAAAGAGATTTTGGCTCCATTGAAACTTATGTGTGTCGACTTGCATCACTATACTCGTATTTTTAAGCCAGTAATGAGCGTTATAATTATTTTTTGAAGGGAACCTTATATGGGAGGTAGGCTCAATTATGGACCGCTCCGCATAAAATTTGGTAGAGAGGTTTTGAATCATAACTTATGATTCATAAGAGACTTACTTATGTCAAATTTCATTGTCATACTAGTATTTCTAAGCCAGTAATGAACGTTAAAGTCTTTTTTGAAGGGGACCTTATAAGGGGGGAGGGGTGTAGGGTCAACTATGGACCGATCCACATAAAAGTTGATATAGAGATATTGGCTCCATTGAAACTTATGTGAGTCAAATTTCATCACTCATCATATTTTTCCGTTCGGACTCTATCGTGCCTTCAACAGACAGACATACGGACGGACGGACAGACATGGCTAGATCGTTTTAGAATTTAATAAGGACCCAGAATATATATACTTTTGTGGGTCTATAACCAATATTTCGATGTGTTCTTTTTTGATGGGGTGAAATTTCAGCTCTATAGCTGACGGACATAGTTCGTCTTAGAATCTAATAAGGACCCAGAATATATATACTTGTATAGGTCTTAGAACAATATTTTGATGTGTTACAAACGGAATGACAATATATCTTTTTTGACGGTTGATATCAAAATGTCAAAAGGTCAAATGGAATTCGGCAATATTCCTAAAAACTGAAACGAAATGGTGAAATTCCCAAAAATTTGTTTTTTTTTAATTTTGCCTATAGGGCCCACTTTTTTGGGTCTGATAAAATACTTGAAGGTTTCTAAAATTGTTTCCTGCTTGCAGATCCTAGCTTTAGGATTTTAGAATATGTGGTCAAGAGTTTATGTAAATTTTGTTAAAAAATGGGCCAAATTTGGAACGTCCAATGGGCAAGATATCTGAAATATGACTTGTATTCTGTACCACAACGTTCTGATTAAAGATAAATAATGTTTCATTTTAAAACATATTGGCAACGGATTGTTTGCAATAGTGAACTTACCACGTTTGTTAACATTTAGACAACGTATGTGTAAAAAATTTAGATTTCGACAACGAAATGTTGCAATGTTGACAATGTTGCGACATAGTGTTGTCGTACGTATGTATATACTTTGACAACGGTTGTTATTGAAAAATTACAAACTCTTTGGTGCCAATTTGGTACCAAGCGTGTATATTTCTTTTTCCCTCTGTGTACTCCTATATAATTTACAAAACATTTGTTGTAAACCCTTATTTCCTTCTGAAACGTCAAATACTTTAAACTGTTTCTATGACATTCTTAAAATATTTTAAATTTTGCCCTACAAAACTATTTTATATTTCTGCTAAAATATAAAGTTTTCTCATATTCAAATTTTAAACCCACTATTTATTTAATCTGTGTCGGGGAAGTATTACACAAATGGCGCGTTTAATTTTTGTTGACAATAATACAAATCGCGGCAGTAAACGTTATCGGGTATATAATTTTCAAATGCAACAATAAATTTGCTACTAGTTTTAGCTATATTTTTGTTGCAGGTTAAGAAAGTTGGTGGTTGGCGCAGTGTACGTTTATATTTAGAGCCGTCGTCACGTAAATGGTGGGAGGATCCGGATGTTTTGGTTGCGTGAGTTTGAAAATTGTTTGATTATTTCTATTCGATATTTTTATTGTTATTATATTTTGGAAAATTAAGTTTTTTTTTACATTTTATGAGTGGTGCTATTTTGCGTCTTATTTAATCACGTGCCAAAATTTATGAGTTTATTGATTAAATATGAATAAGACGATAATTTATGCAACTTAATGATAATTATTGGTTGTGAATGATTGCCAAATATATTTTCATAACATTTAATTAGACTTAAACGCAGATTCGCTAGTGATTATAGCATTTACTATGGGTCTGCCCGTAGTATTAAATTACTACAGCCTATATAGTCTTGATTATATACCAGTCTATAGCCTTCACTAAGCTTGTCTATAGAACAATCTATAGTCTTGACTTTACACCAATCAATAGTCTTGTCTATAGACCAGTCTAAAATCCTGACTACTGACCAGTCTATAGTCTGAACTAAAGACCAATCTTTAGCCATGACTATAGACTATAGACTATAGTATTGACTATAGACCAGTCTATAGTCTTGACTATAGTCCTGACTATAGACCAGTCTATAGTCTTGACTATAGTCCTGACTGTAGACCAGTCTATAGTCTTGACTATAGTCCTGACTATAGACCAGTCTATAGTCTTGACTATAGTCCTGACTATAGACCAGTCTATAGTCTTGACTATAGTCCTGACTATAGACCAGTCTATAGACTTGACTATAGACCAGTCTATAGACTTGACTATAGACCAGTCTATAGTCTTGACTATAGACCAGTCTATAGACTTGACTATAGACCAGTCTATAGTCTTGACTATAGACCAGTCTATAGTCTTGACTATAGACCAGTCTATAGTCTTGACTATAGACCAGTCTATAGTCTTGACTATAGACCAGTCTATAGTCTTGACTATAGACCAGTCTATAGTCTTGACTATAGACCAGTCTATAGTCTTGACTATAGACCAGTCTATAGTCTTGACTATAGACCAGTCTGTAGTCTTGACTATAGACCAGTCTGTAGTCTTGACTATAGACCAGTCTATAGTCTTAACTATAGACCAGTCTATAGTCTTGACTATAGACCAGTCTATAGTCTTGACTATAGACCAGTCTGTAGTCTTGACTATAGACCAGTCTATAGTCTTGACTATAGACCAGTCTATAGTCTTGACTATAGACCAGTCTATAGTCTTGACTATAGACCAGTCTATAGTCTTGACTATAGACCAGTCTATAGTCTTGACTATAGACCAGTCTATAGTCTTGACTATAGACCAGTCTATAGTCTTGACTATAGACCAGTCTATAGTCTTGACTATAGACCAGTCTATAGTCTTGACTATAGACCAGTCTATAGTCTTGACTATAGACCAGTCTATGGTCTTGACTATAGACCAGTCTATAGTCTTGACTATAGACCAGTCTATAATCTTGACTATAGACCAGTCTATAGTCTCGACCATAGACCAGTCTATAGTATCGACAAGAGAACAGTCCTTTGCTATGGTCGAGACTATAGACTGGTCTATAGTCAAAACTATAGATTGGTCTATAGTCTTGACTGTATAAACCTTGACTATAGACCAGTCTATAGTCTTGACTATAGACCAGTCTATAATCTTGACTATAGACCAGTCTATAGTCTCGACCATAGAACAGTCTATAGTATCGACAATAGAACAGTCCTTTCCTATGGTCGAGACTATAAACTGGTCTATATTCAAAACTATAGATTGGTCTATAGTCTTGACAGTATAAACCTGTCCATAGTTTTGTCTATAAACCTGTCCATAGTTTTGTCTATAAACCTGTCTATAGTCTTGACTATAGATCAATCTATAGTCTTGACTATATATCAATCTATAGTCTTGACTATAGACCAGTCTATAGTATTGGCACACACTAGTCTTGACTGTAGACCAGCCAATAGTTTTGTCTATAGACCAGTCTATAGCCTTGATTGTAGACCATTCTGTAGTCTTTACTATAGACCAGTCTTTAGTGTTGACTACAGACCAGTCTATAGTCATGACATAACCTGTCTATAGTTTTGTCTATAGAACAATCTGTAGTCTTGACTGTAGACCAGTCTGTAGTCTTGACTATAGACCAGTCTGTAGTCTTGACTATAGACCAGTCTGTAGTCTTGACTATAGACCAGTCTGTAGTCTTGACTATAGACCAAACTATAGTCTTGACTAAAGACTAATCTATAGTTTTGACTTTAGACTAATCTATAGTCGTGACTGGAGACTAATCTATAGTCTTCACTATAGACTAATCTATGGTCTTCACAATAGACTTAGATATCTATAATCTTGACTATATTCCAGTATATAGTCTAGAATTTAGACCAGTCTATAATCTTGACTGTAGACCAATCTATAGTGTTGACTATGGACCAGTCTATAGTCTTAACCGTAGACCAATCTATACTTTTGACTATAGATCAGTATATAGTTTTGACTATAGATCAGTGTGTAGTCTTGACTGTAGACCAGTCTGTAGTCCTGATTATACATAGACCAGTCTATACTTTTGAATATACCCCAGTCAATAGTCTTGACTATAGACCAGTCTTCGAGTATAGACCAGTCTGTATTCTTGACCATAGTCTGTACCATAGGCTGATAGTTTTAATTATACACTTTCGAGGAGCAGCAGTTTTATTCTGTATACAAATATGGTAACCCTGGCCTACCTCAAAAGGGTGGTACATAATATTATTTTGTTTGCTTAAGTCATTTCAACACCACTATAATTTTATATCTTTGATTTCTTATAACTCTGTGGTTTTTGTCACAATTTATGATTGGGCCTATACGAGACTGACTCAGTATTTAGTGGATTTCGATTATATTTGTCAATAGTCATTCTAATTCATTTCCTCAACAATGCTCCATATAATTTATGTTCCTTTTTATTGTTTAATACATTAATGAATTCAAATGTACTCCATCCTAAAAACCTTTATAAATCATTTGTAGCGACTTTCGATATAACATTCAGGCAAGTGAATATACGAACGTAGGAGTTGAAGTGTAAGAAACAAGTTAATTTTAAAATTCCATTTCATAAGAGCTGCTAAAAGAAATTAAGACAAATAGAAATAAACTGTTAATGTGTAATTGAATTGTAATAAATATTGCAATTGTAGTTTATTGTAATATTTTATTTAATATTTTTACTTATTACTATTTTTTATGACAAAAATAAATGTAGGTAATTAATAATTAAAACACACCCATACACTGATTTAAAGTGTCCATTGACGGCAAATTGTTTAAAAGATAAAAATAAATAAAATCTATTATTATAAATTAACAACAAGTTGGCAGTTATTAAATTGTATCTCCTACTATTTAATGTTTGATATTATATTTGTGAGTAAAATATTTAGGTTGAAAAATCAAGCGGATGCCTCGAACCATGGTCACGCTGTGGGAACTTAATATGACCTTCAAATTGTGTAAGGAAAGAGGTAGCGAAAGTATCTTTGGGAACTTTAATTTCATAATAAATCCCATACGATGGATACAGGCGAATCTGGGAACTACATATGAGGGATTTTTATATCATTTGTGTTTCTAAGACGGGGACTATGAGAACCTATTTTGACATTTGCTCTTTACGCTATTTTGCACATTTCACTTGTAGTTAATTTTCGAAGGATTAAGCTATGTATACACGGTTGTCAGATCTTACAACGCAGAAAATGTTCAGAAAATGTCTAAAACCGTGTGAAATTACGATTTTTGTTCTGCAACATTGTTAGAGAAAGCATTGTCAAAATAATAATATTGTCAGACATCTCATAATTGTGTAAACACATTATGTTGCCATTGCCAGATAATTGTCTGGCAATTTTTATTGTCAGATGTGCGAATTTTATGCACCTGACAATTTGCAACAAGGTGCATTAGAAGAACATATGCAACTAAAATAAGATTTGGCAACTTTTGTAATACAACAATCTGACAACATTGTGAACTGACAATTTTTGTTGGCAGATAAATTTATTGTCTGACAATTGTCAGGCAATGAAATTGTAAGGTTTTCTTACAACGGTGTGAACTGACAATTTACCTATGGCTAACAATTTTTCAGTGTCAGTGCATTGCCAGATCTGCCAACGTTGTAAGATCTGACAACCAAGTATATATAGCTTTAGATTTTTAAATTATGAGAACTAAAACAGATTCTAGTTCCGTTCTAATTCTGTTCTATTTCTGTTTTAGTTCTGTTCTAGTTCTGTTCTAGTTCTGTTCTAGTTCTGTTCTAGTTCTGTTCTAGTTCTGTTCTAGTTCTGTTCTAGTTCTGTTCTAGTTCTGTTCTAGTTCTGTTCTAGTTCTGTTCTAGTTTTGTTCTAGTTCTGTTCTAGTTCTGTTCTAGTTCTGTTCTAGTTCTGTTCTAGTTCTGTTCTAGTTCTGTTCTAGTTCTGTTCTAGTTCTATTCTAGTTCTGTTCTATTTATGTTCTAGTTATGTTCTAGATCTGTTCTAGTTTTGTTCTAGTTCTGTTCTAGTTCTTTTCTAGTGCTGTTCTAGTTCTGTTCTAGTTCTGTTCTAGTTCTGTTCTAGTTCTGTTCTAGTTCTGTTCTAGTTCTGTTCTAGTTCTGTTCTAGTTCTGTTCTAGTTCTGTTCTAGTTCTGTTCTAGTTCTGTTCTAGTTCTGTTCTAGTTCTGTTCTAGTTCTGTTCTAGTTCTGTTCTAGTTCTGTTCTAGTTCTGTTCTAGTTCTGTTCTAGTTCTGTTCTAGTTCTGTTCTAGTTCTGTTCTAGTTCTGTTCTAGTTCTGTTCTGTTCTGTTCTAGTTTTGTTCTAGTTCTGTTCTAGTTCAGTTCTAGTTCAGTTCTAGTTCTGTTCTATTTCTGTTCTAGCTCTGTTCTGTTCTAGTTCTGTTCTAGTTCGGTTCTAGTTCTGTTCTAGTTCTGTTCGAGTTCTGTTCTAGTTCTGTTCTAGTTCTATTCTAGTTCTGTTCTAGTTCTGTTCTAGTTCTGTTCTAATTCGTTTCTA